GTGAAGCATTTTATTTTATTTTATTTTTTTAAAGATTTTATTTATTTATTTGAGAGAGAGAATGAGAGATAGAAAGCACGAGAGGGAAGAGGGTCAGAGGGAGAAGCAGACTCCCTGCTGAGCAGGAAGCCCGATGCGGGACTCGATCCTGGGACTCCAGGATCATGACCTGAGCCGAAGGCAGTCGCTTAACCAACTGAGCCACCCAGGCAACCAAGTGAAGCATTTTAAATGAAATGTAATGAGAAAGGATACAACCTGAAGGCACATAGGGAGTACCAAGGTAGGGATTGGAATTTTAAATAAGATGGTCAAGGAAGCCTTCTCTGATAAAGCTCTTGGCTATATCTGTTGCTGCGGACAACATCTTCAGAAAATGGGAAACTTCCATTTACCGCATGTTTTGGCTCAGATAAATTCTAGGAGGTAGCATTGATATCCACATTTCTGATGAGAATACCGAAACCAAGGGGGAAAGTACAGTTTCCAAATTCACACACCACCAGCACAGGATAAAAGCCCCTAGTAATGCAAGCATTATTCCTTTCTTAGTTCTGCATCTGGAAAACAGGGTTCCTGAGCAGGAAAGTGGCTATTTCAGAGGGTGCAGAGAACGAAGGATTGCACATAATGTGTGAAGCACTAAGCCTGGCACAAAGTGGGCATTCAATACATATTTCTGAATAGTAATAATCATTTTATGCTTCAACCTCCAAAAGATCCAGGAAGTCAATATAGAGAATTAGAGTCCTTTATTGGGGGATGTCAGCAAAGAACATAGGAAATGAGAACAAGTCTTAGGGGTTTGAGAATGAGCTTAGAGTAGAGAAGCCCATCCTGGGCGAATGAGCAGGTCCCAGGCCTGTGTGGAGGAAGCTATCAGGGAGTACCCAGGGGTATGGTGAAGGAGAGGTAGTCACCAAGGGCGCCCCAACGGGGCCGGTAGATCTGGAAGATGGTGATCCAGGTGGTGAGCACAATCACCCAGAAGAGGAAGCCCAAAGCTGAGCGCCAGACATCTGTAAAAGGGAACAGGAATGGGTAAGGTTGGCCTCCACCTGCTCCCCGCCCCCCCGCCCCGCCCCACGCTGGCCCTCTCTTCTCTTCCAGAACCCCATAATTTTGGAACCTCCATCATTCCCTGCCAACACCTGATGGCCTCCCTTCATCCGTGCGCTGGACTCACAGCCTTTGATTTGGCTCTGCTCCGTGTATGCTGGGACAAGGAAGGCCTCTCGGAAGAACCAGAAGATGTTGACCAACCAGAGGAAAGGCAGGAAAGCAAACCCACCTAAGAGAAAAAAAAACAAACTGGAGCGTAAGGCAGTGAGGATCCTCCTCTCCCTCCCCTCCCCCTGCCCCAACTCCCACCTAGAGGACGGAAGGCCCTCCTCCATATCCAAGTTCAAACGGAGATCTCTGCTCTCAGAGACTTAGAAATCCTGCCCCGCCCCAGGGCCCCAAAATCTGACTCCTCGTTCATCTCTTTCTCAGGACCCAGAGTCCGGCCCAACTCTCCCGTCTCTTGGGACCCAGAAGCTGAGGCTCCAGCCTCCTCTTGCCTCAGGTCCCAGGCCCTTCCCTCAGACCCAGGAGTCCGCAACCCCAGTCGCTTTATCCCTTAGACTCAAGAATCCAGGCCCCCAGGCTCTCTTCCCTCAGGCGCTCTAGTCCGGTCCCCTCTCTTCTCCTGGGATCCTAGGAACCGTCCCTTACCCAGGTAGTACTTCCGGCACAGATTCAACTTCTCCTCGTTAGACACCCGCTCCAAGTTCATAGTTGCGCCGAGGCCGAGTAGTCCCGCGGGTCTGCACGGCAGGAGCCAAGCCTTGACCCCAAGTGACAGATGCAGGGACCGCGAACAACCACGCCCCTATAACGACAAAACGGAGATAAACTGAAGGGTGGGTTTGCTGAAAGAAGGGTACCCCGGTCCCCACCAGCAAGCTGACTGGGTCGAACGCCCTTCATGTTTATTCGGGGGCGCGAACGGCCCCCAACCCACCAGTGCAGTCCACTTCCTCCGCTTGGAAGCCTTAGCCACTTTCAACGTCGGACGTTTGCGCGAGGTTCCGCAAGTATCTCTGGAGTTTGTAGTCTTTTTGGATGCGGCAACGCTGCACGCATGCGCCTTCAGGGAACGCCAGGTGGTGATTTTGCTCCCGGGGAGGGCGCAGGCCTCTAACCCGCAAGCGCAGTAGGAAGTTTCTGAGCGCGTGCTGTGTCGGGAGGCAGCGACGAACTACACTTCCCAATGCTCTTAAGCAACGGAAATGACGTAAAGAGCAGAGAGAGTTGGAGGGTTCGGGTAAAAATGGCTGAATATTTAGCTTCGATATTCGGGACTGAAAAGGACAAGTGAGAACGGGCGCAGGGAGTGGCTCCTTGCGGGGGCCGGGACCGGGACATTTGGTTCCCTCGTGGCCGGGAGGCGTTGGGCGGTGTTTCTGGGGTGTCCGGCCTCCCCGGCCCTCGGTTCACCTCTGTCTTTGCACCTCTTCCAGGGTTAACTGCTCTTTTTACTTTAAGATCGGGGCCTGCCGGCACGGGGACCGGTGCTCCCGGCTTCACAACAAGCCGACTTTCAGCCAGGTGAGACCCGGCACGGAGCCTTGAGGGTTAACGCCTTCCGGCCATTCCCCTTCTGTTGGCCATCACCACGAGGTCCCGCCTTTTCCGGATTTCTAAGCCCCACCCCACCACCGGCTTTTTTCGGGTCGGGCCTCTGCGGGTTCCTCCCCTTTCCTTCAGGCCCTTCTCCCAGGAACTTGGCCACGCCCCCGTACGTACGAATTACACCGCTGGGCTGTCCCCGAGTGCTAGGTGTCTCTTCTGGTTTCCTTAGGGGCAAGCATCGCTTGATGCACTCAGGATGCTTAGGCTTCTTCTCTGTTGCCAAGTGTCACCCCCAGCCTTCATACCTCACCTCACCCCTTTGCGTGCGCTCAGGCCCCGCCCCCTTTAAATTCTGTTCAGACCATAGTGCTTCTCAACCTCTACCGGAATCCACAGAACACCGCCCAAACCGCAGACGGATCGCACTGTGAGTGAGGGACCGGTCTTGGGGGCAGGGCGGACAGCCCCCAACAGGCCACCCGCTGATTTCACCCTGCCCCTCCCCAGGTCACGTGAGCGACGTGGAGGTGCAAGAACACTATGATAACTTCTTCGAGGTGAGGGTTGGCAAGGGATGGGTTGAGTTTCCTGTGGAACAGGAGCTCAGCTGAGTTCCTCCCGGTCTTCCGCAGGAGGTGTTCACGGAGCTGCAGGAGAAGTACGGGGAGATTGAAGAGATGAATGTGTGCGACAACCTGGGGGACCACCTCGTGGGCAATGTCTATGTCAAGGTGCCTCCTGTCCCCACATGAGAGCCTAGAGGTGGAGGCATTTCAGTGCCTGATGGCCACCACTGAAGCCTCACAGCTTGAGGTCCATCACTAAATCCATCCTGGCCCCAGAGCTGCTGACTAATCCCCTAAAGACTTACGAGTGTGATTGCTGACCCTGATCGACTTTGCCCTCAGTTTCGGCGGGAAGAGGATGCAGAGCGGGCAGTGGCTGAACTCAATAACCGCTGGTTCAACGGGCAGGCCGTGCATGCTGAGCTCTCTCCTGTCACCGACTTCCGGGAGTCATGCTGCCGGCAGTATGAGATGGGGTATGGTAGTACGGGGGTGGGATGGGCACCTGGAGTCCCAGACTCCTTGTGTGTTGGGGTGCTGTCATTGCCAACAGCCTCGTCCATCCATCCATCCATCCATCCATCCTCTACCCAGGGAATGTACCCGCGGGGGCTTCTGCAACTTCATGCACCTGCGGCCCATCTCCCGGAACCTCCGACGTCAGCTGTATGGGCGGGGACCCAGGCGCAGGTACCTCAGGACCAGCCTGTCAAGACATCTCATACCCTAAGGCCCTTATACTCCGAGGTGGACCTGATCCTGTGCCCCAATAACAGCGTCTCTCTTTTGTATCCAAAGACTAGCTCTGAGCACCGTCCAAAGACCAGCGCCTGAGTCTCAAGCCCCAAACCCAAGACCAGTCTGGATCTCCAGTCCGGAGATCAGTCCCTGAGAACCTGTCCTGATAGCACGCAGGAACTCTGGTTACCTGCCCCATCCCAGAGCAGAGAGGCAGACCCGGGGAATGGTGCCGTACTCCTTCCAGCTCTAACCCTCATCTCTCCACTCCTGTCCCCAGGTCGCCCCCGAGGTCCCATACCGGCCACCGTCCCCGAGAAAGAAACCGACGACGTTCCCCAGACCACCGGCATGGCCGCTTCTGAGACCCTGGCTCCCTTGATCTCCACCCGTGACAGGCATAAATGTTCCTGGCCAGGACCCCTCCTGAAAGCTCCCTTAACCCCCCAGTGCCGTCTTCCCCAGGCTCCGGGGCTCCATGATGTAATCTGTTCAACACAGGGACCTTCTCTTACCACCCCTCCCCTAATAAAGTTCTGTATTGAGGGTTTAGAACCTGTTAGCTTGAGCCTAGCGGTGGGCTGGAGTTTCCTTCCACCCCCACACCTGACGAAAAGGGGAAGCGGGCTGGGCTCTGGCCACAACTTCTGCTGAAGAACGTCCAACAACAGGTGGGAGAGCAGCAGGCTCAGGGCCCAGGGCTCTAGAAACCCCTCAGTGGGACTGGTTGGGGTGGGGACGCCTCTGTGCCGGGAACCTCAGCACGGCTCTCTCCGGCTTCTCAAGGGGGAGGCGCCTGCTTGTGGCAGGTTGGAGGATTCCCAGCCGGGAGGAGATTGGGTTTAGGGAGCTAAGGTAGGGTTATTGGGAATTGAGTGGGAGTCTCCAGAGGGTGAGGGCTGGGTCCTCCATGTCAGCTGCCCTGACGTGGGAGTTGGAAATAACCTACTCCTTAAGCTTACCATATGCCAGGTGCTATTCTAAGTGCTTTACTTCAAGCAATGATGTTAATTCTTCACAATAAACCTTTGAGACAGGTACTGTCATCCCATTTTAGGGTTGAGAAAAGATGTAAGGAAGATGGCAGAGGTGGGATATGAGTCCGGTCGTTGTGGTTCCGGACTCCTCGTTCTAGCCATCTTGAGGCCTTGGTGGCCCTTCTCATAATGGGCCAGGAGCTGGACTAGGGGCTAGGAGTAGACTCCCGTCTTCCAAAGGGGTCTGGGGATCCCATGCCCCCACATCACTGCTTCCTTCTTCTGCCCGGGTTTCCTGGAAAGTGTGACAGAAGCGCTGTGGTCGGAAGTCCTGCGGTCACGGCCCCCCCAGGCTGCAGACCCCGCCCGGGTGGGGCCCCGATGCCGCCTCCTGACTGCCGCGCTGCTCCTGGCCCAGGCGGCGCCTCGGGGGGCCTCCCAGCAGTGCGGGCGCCTCGAGTACTGGAACCCTGATAACCGGTGCTGCGGCAGCTGCCTGCAGCGCTTTGGGCCGCCCCCCTGCCCGGGTGAGGAGCCCGGACGGGGGTATGCGTATGTTCGGGCGGGGCCAGGGGGTGATAAGGAGCCAGGGAAGGGACGAAGTCTGTGGGTTATTGTCTGTGAGGCTTGCTTCGGGGAGGGGGCGGCGGGCCTTAACGCAGAGGAGACAATGTGGGGCTCAGCCTGTGATGGAAGGGATAGTACCGGTTACGATAGGGCCACGGCAAAGGGGTATTGCCTGTTGGGCGGGATCGCGGCAGTGTTCAAAGGGTGAGGTGTGTGGATAAATCAGGAGTGGGCGGGGCTTGGTGCCCGAGCTGGGTGGGGGTAATGGGCGGGCGGGGCCTGTGAGGAGAGGGTCTCGAGACTGGCAGGGCTGGTGCGGGGAGGGTGGGCACGTCGGTGATAGGTTGGGTTAGTGGAGTACAAGGGGTGGGGCCTGCTGGGATAGGACAAAGGGGAAAGGCTGTCGCTAGTGCAGGAGAGGAGGGGCTGGGCGGCCACACGTGAGACCCTGTTTCCCACCAGACTGCGAGTTTTCGGAAAACTGCGGGCTCGATGACTCTGGCGATCACGTGTCGCGCCCCTTCAAAGAGTGTCCTATTGGGCAGTGCAACCCCGACAATGCGGAGCTATGTAGCCCCTGTGGCGGCGGAGCCACGGCCCCTGCTCCCGCGGGGAGCCGGAGCGGAACACAGCGGCGCTGCAGAGAGGTGCTGGTCGGGCTCCGGAGGGCCTGGGCTAGGGTGCCGCTTGCTGGAGGCGGAGCGGGGGTGGAGGGCGTGGTTTGGGATTGGATGGGCGGGGTCTGGGTCAAGGGAGGGGGGTGTAGCCCCACTGAAGAGAATGGGGTGGGGGCATAATAGGATCAGGGGGCCTACCTGGGTTAAAGTGTGTGGGAGGGGGGCGGGGGAGCGTGGGGGGGATAGCTGGATGGGGCAGGGATTTCGCCCCACGGAGGGATAGAAGGATGGGAGGTTCAGGCTGAGGGCCAGGAGTGGGGCATACCTCCCGCTTTATTCCAACCTATTTGCAGAGGTCGGTCCCTCCCAAGGAGCCCTGCCCCCTGAAGTCTGGGAGACCAATGGTCCTTAGCTCCCAGGAGCCCAGCCCATCGGCGATCTCCAGTCTTTCGTGGACATTGGAGCGCAAGGTCGCTCAGCAGGCCTTGCCGAATTTTGCCCTGCTGGTCGTGCTGGTTCTCATGGTGCTGGGTCTGCTGGTGACCTCAGCAGTGATCCTCCTGCTCGCCCAGCGGTGCCACCGCCAGGCGAAAGTTGTCCTCCACCCATGTCCTGGCGTGGTTTGTGGCAACACCAACATCCATAGCCTCTTCCCCGCACACTCGTCCTCTTCAGGCTCCCAGGAGGCATCCGAGGCAGGGGCCCCACCGAAGGAGGCGGCTCTGGTTCCACTCGTGGGCAGAGGTTAGTCGGGGACAGGCCAGGGAGGGAGAGGGTGGCCTGGGAGATTGCCCTTCCTCTCCATCACCCCTCCACTGCTCTCCCAGAACTGCCGAAGCTGGCCTCGCAGCCCCTGTCTCGCCTGCTGGAGGAGCTGGAGGTGCTGGAGGAGCTCATGGTGCTGCTGGATCCCGAGCCTGGGCCAGGTGGGGGGACGGCCTGTGGCACCACGAGACACCTGGCAGCGAGGTACGGGCTGCCTGCCGCCTGGTCCACCTTCGCCTACTCACTGCGGCGCAGTCGCTCGCCACTGTGGGCCTTGGTTGAGATGGTGGTGGCGAGGGAGCCCTCTGCTTCTCTGGGCCAGCTCGGCACACACCTGGCCCAGCTAGGGCGGGCAGACGCGCTGCAGGTGCTGTCCAAACTCGGCTGATCCGGGCCTTGCCCAGCCTCGTTCTCAATAAAATTTCCCGTGAAAGAAGCGCCTGCCGTCTCTGGGCCTCATTAAGGCATGCTTTTGAAATACAGTCTTCATTGGGCCGAGACCCAACAGGAATCCTCTCCTTCCAGCATATACACGAGACCAGATACGGCCTGAGGCGCCACTGAGAGCTGGCCTCGGGTGCCTCTGGGCAACCAAGGTCCTCTCCGGGAAAGGGCCCTGCTGTCCCCCGAAGGGCTCTCATCCGCAGGGACCCCGCCGGGCTCTAAGTGGGAATCCGGAGAGCACATGTTGCTCTGACGCTGTAAGAGACCCCCCACGATTTACCTGTAATTCTGAGTGATGGCCTCCCAACCCCTGCTCAGGCCGCCAGGCTTCCCTCAGCTCGGGACCGGTGTGGAGAAACGGGAGCTCCTACCTGCCCCCAGCAACATACAAACCGGAAGACCACCTCTCCAAACATTGACAGACTTTATTATGGGGGGTTCCCACCTGGGAACCCACCCTCTTAAATAAAAAAGTGCATAGAAAAGAAGGGATTTAGAAACCTTTGTACACTATCTACATCCTGGGCCCCCAGGGCAAGAAGGGGGCGATTGCTGGGTGGGCTGGAGGGGTGGAGGCAGGGCCTCTGCCACCTGTAGGCCCACATCCACCCTCAACAGGAGGGTGGGGGTGAGATGCTCTGGGAGGGACTCGGGAGCCCCCAGACTCGGGGCACGACGGCAGCGGGGTCGGGGGGGGGGGCGGGCAGCCGCGGCCTTAGTTCAGGAAGCGACGGCAGCGCTTGGCGCCGCAGTTGCAGGGCAGCTTGTTGCTGGCATCCTCGATGGGGAACTTGTAGTCATAGGTGAGCTCCTCGCCTCGCAGGATGCGGCGCAGGGCGAAGATGACGATGTGCTTCTGACCCTCCACATGGATGACCCGAGAGAAGCAGTTGGGCTCACACGAGTGGTTGATGAAGCGCGCGGCGTTGCCGTGCATCGTGGCGTCCACCACGTCAAAGTCATCCATACGGAACATGTAGCACCCGATACCCTACGGGGACCACGACGGGGCCGGTCAGGTGCTCCAGTCCCACGGCCCAGCCCCCCCGCCCCCGCCTCCTCCCCCCGCCGCTTCGCCCACCTCATCCCCATGGCCCCGTGGAGCCCACCTTCCCATCGTAGAACTTCTCCCGCTTGTCGGTGAGCACGGAGCGAATGACGATGCCGGAATACTCGATGACCATCTCGCCGGCATCGATGTTTCGCTTACAGAACAGGCCCCGCCCGTGGATGGCAGATCTGCAGGGGAGGATGGGCCAGGGGGAGCTCGGGGGGGGGGCAGGGGGACAGAACCAAGGCAGCCCCGCACCGGGGCACCTGTCCATCCACCCAAGGGGCATCCTCCCCCCCCGACCCCACTAACCTGTAGACACCCACAGCCTCTTTGGATGTCTTCTTGAGGTGGCGAAAGCGCATGGCCATGGGCAGCTCCAGGCTGGTGGCACGTCTGGTGGGGTCAGCAGTGTCACAGGCCGGTACCCAGGAATGACCTCTCTTGCCCCTGGTCACCCTCTTGAGGACCCTTCCAGTACAGCCCCAGCACCCCGGCCTGCCCTCCATACCTGGTTGACCTGAGCTGCACCTCATCCTCTTCCTCGTCACAGGTGGCCCCCTCGGGGAGCACCCGGTGCTGGGAGGCCAGGAAGTTGAACATGTCAAAGGTGCACTTCCTGCAGCAGGGAGGGAGGGAGGGAGGAAGGAAGAAGGGAGGGTAACAGTCATTCCTTCCAAGAGACGCCACCTACCTACCCTCTGGCTCGGGCGGGCCGCTAGCAAAGGAGAAATACTGCTACCCCCGGCGAGTGAAAGGGGAACGGACGGGGCTCCCTCTTGTGCCGGGAACTCCAGGAGTACTTCCTGGGGCGGCCTGGCATCTTCTCCCAGGCCTCGGTTCCCAATCTCTAAAGACCTAACCCCCACGCCCGAGAACTCCCCCCGGGGCTGCCCAGGCGCCTCACCGGAGATAGACCTCGGCGCGGGCCGCCCCGTGGGGATTCAGGGGCGGCTCCTCCTGGCCCTCTCCCTGCTGGTGGTAGCGGAACTTGTAGTGCTGGCAGCGCTGGGCCCCGGGCAGCTGCTCTGCCAGGAAGATGACAGCGTCGTGGTGGATGCCCAGGAGCCTCGCCCCGCTCATTCCTGGGGACAGAGGTGAGGACACACACGTCACGTCGGAGGCCCCTCTCATCCTCTCCGAGGCCTCCCAGCTCTCCGCACGCCGGCAGCCCCTCCACTTGCCACTGAAGGAGAGATGCCGGAGCCGGGCGTGCCCTCGGGCCTCTTGCACCTTCTCAATCAGAGTTCTCCACGCCCCTGAGGAGAGAGCAGGGCCAGAGCGGTCAGGACGGGGGCGGCGGGGGGCTCGACCGGACACCTTCCCTCCGTCACCACCACTCCCGACTCACCCTCCAAGCTCTCGGCCTCCACGCTGAACCCATCCTCACTGCTGATCTCAAAGCGCAGATGTGGGCCAGCCCGTTTGGGGGCCTGGTTCTCTTTGTCCTCTGGGGAGGGAGGCTCTTCCTCAGAGCTTGAAGCCTCACCTGGTCCCAAGCAGCAGGTCAGAGTAGGTGAGGATCACCCCTCCTGGACCCCCGAGTCCCAGGTTCCCCACCCCCTCCCTTCCTCTCCCTGCACAAGCACAGATACTTGGTCTGAGGGCTCTCTTCCTGCTCTCATTGCCCCGTGAGCCCTACAGGATGGACATTATTTTTCTCTAAAGAGCCCGCGGTCCCTTTTCTGTGAGAGTTCTGGGAGAGATGAGCATGCCCACAGAGGCTCAGAATGCCCTGGCTCTGCAGGACACGCTCTGACACTCTGGCTCACTCCAACCCATTTTACCAAAAATGCCCCTCTACCCCTCATTCTTCTCTCACAGAAAATTAAAAATACCAGAAGTATATTTTGCACATGCATTTTTTTATATGCAAACTTATTATATAGGCTCCTACCCACAGAGTCGAGTATATGTACATTATGAGCAATTTAAGGGATTTCTCAGGGGCTAAAGATTTTAAAGACGGAACAGACAGGACTTGCTGCTGTAGGAGATGGGGATGTGAGAGCCAGTGGAGGGTCAAGGACAACTCTGAGGTCTGGGGCCTGAACAACTGGAATGGTAAAATTGCCGATGATGAGACAGATGGTGAGGGAGAGGGAGGAACAAGTTTGGGGTGAAGGCAGAGAACTCAGTTTGGGATATGCTGAGTCCGAAATTCCTCTTAGAAAACCTGCCCTTGCAACCTGCTGGTGGAGATGGGGAGCAGGCAGCAGGATCTAGGAGCCTGGCTACCAATCCACCGGCTGTCAGAATAAGAGATGGGATTTAGAGCCATGAAGTAGATGAGAACACCCAAGAGTAGGTACAGACAGAGAAGTCAAGGCCGGGGCCCTGGGACATGCCAAAGTGACAGGCTGGGGCAATGAGGAGGCAGGATCGGGGCGGGGTGGGGGGGCTGTTGGAAGCCATCGAAGGAAGTGCTACAAGGAGGTGGTGGGGGGGATCAGCTCAGATGCAGCGGCTCGCTCAAGCATGGTGCGGACTGAGGGCTGACCGTCATGTCTGGAGGGGGAGGGTGGGGAGAACCTCAGTTCGAGTGAAGCGTGCTTTAGAGGAGAGGCAGGACCCACGTGGCCACACTTGCTCCCCACACCACTCCTCTGGGCCAACCTGACCGTGTGCCCTCCCAGCCTGAGGCAAGACTCCAAACCTGATTTGCTGTATGACCCAAATCATCTCCAGGCCTCAGTGCCTCTGGGTTCACCTCTGACAACTTCCTCCACCTCCTCTTTGCCCTTACCCCATCCTCACCTCCATTCTGTTCCCTGAACCCGACAGGCTGACTACAGGGGCCTCACCCGGGCGCTCTCATTGCCTTCTTTCTCACGGCGCTCGTTCTCAGCTGCAGTACACTTGCTAACGTACGTGTCTGTTTCCTCTACCAAAATGTGGCGTGGTCCCTAAGGGTGGGGACCTGTCCGTCATGGTCACTGCCATATCCTCACGCCACCTCTGACCCCCATACGCAGTCTTTCAGTTAAGCGGTCTCTTGTGTACCTCGCTCCGCTTCCACGCTCAGTAACTCAGCGCTACGTAATGAGACAATCCACACATCCGGGCAGGCCTGGGGCCAGGAGAAATTCCGAGCCTCAGGCTGCTCAGTTACCAGCTTGCTTGGCTGTAGCCTACCCCCTCTCCCATGGCCCTCTGTAACCAACAGAGCACTCACTGCCCTCCCAGCTTCACCAAGGCTGTCAGCCCAATCCGCTCCACGTACCCCTATCCTGGGTCTGGACGGCTCTGCACGTGCACTGACCTCCCCTTTCCTCCACCTCAGCGGTCCCCTATTCACATCCAACCACCACGCCTCCTCCCACCTCTGCTTCCATCCACAAGCCCCCTTCACCCTCCTCCATGGCTTTGCCACTCAGCCCTCATACAAACCTCTCTGGGCTGCCGCCCACCCTCTCCTCTCAGACCCTTAGCCAAGCTTGCCAGCAAGATACCTGGGTCTTGTTTTAGCTTCCTCATCAACCACTGTCTTCAATTCTAGACCCTGACGGAACATCCTTCCCGGCCAGTACACCAACCCTAGACCCCACATGCCTGGGGTCCTCTTAATCTCCTTCCTACTCTTGCTGCCCCTCTGGGTCCTAGGTGAGCTCCATCCTCGCTGGCTGACCCCCAGGTGCTCGTCTGGCTGCACGGCTCTAAAGCCCATCTCTAATTCTGACAGCCCCCACACTAGGGACCTAACCCTCTGACCCTGGCAGGTCAGGCTCTGAAGCCGACCCCCTGGCTCTTGGGCACTTTTGAAGGGCCTCTCATGCGGAGCTGAAACTTCATCTCTCTGCCTTTTTCTGCCATGGGCCAGGAGCTCCGAGGGCATCCCTCTAACTCTGAATACCTAGTCTCAGGCTCAGAGCCAGACTGGTGCACAAGGTCTATCTTTTGAAGTGGACTGACTCCGCATCTGACCATCACCCAGCTGAGGCAAGCATAAGGAAGGAGGCAGGGAGAGC